ACTGGAGGGTTGGTGTCATTTCCACATTCACTTCTAACCTGTGGATCTTGGTTTCCAGCACTGCAATTTTCTGTAGAAGTTTGTGGATGTCGTCCGTGGAGAAGGGGGCATCTTGTTGCTAATTAGCATTAGCTATAACTCCAGTCACTGCAGTACAGGCTAGTGCTATTGATAGGTCGTACTCGCGTAGCACTAAGATCATAATAGTGGGAAAATCCTATTCATTTGAATTTTCAACCAAAGGACATTTTGCCTCATAACTATAGCACAGTACGTCGCTCATTCATAAACCTTATATCTACGTGTTTAGGGGATGCTGCCGGATCGTATGGTATAGGACACGCTTCTGTGCAATGACATTTGTGTTTTGCAAAATCGCAAAAACTGAAACCTATTTTAATTAACTCCCCCACCGGCACCAAATTTGGCACAGATCATCTCTGGACGAAGCTGATAAGTTTGTACAACTTATTTCAATCAGCAAAAATTGCGACAACATTGTTTTTAGGCCGAACGCAAAAAACAGGAAGTGACGTTGGGGACCTTATGTGGGATGCCTTCCCTAAGAGCTCCGTGAAATGTGGTGTCAATCAACCACTAGGTGGCGTTGTTAATTGATATCAAATGAGACTCCCATAGACATAGATCTCCATAACCACAAGTCCCTTTTTTTTATTGAAACTTCGGACAATAGGTGGCGATGTTATTGTAAACTGAACAGTTAAAGAAAATTAATGTTTCAAAACCACTAAAACTTTCCACTACAACTACTAATACAATTTCTGCAGTATGAGCTGTATACACGGTAGCTTCACTTTAGTCTTGAGAAGCGGCAGTCTCTTTTCATTAGTCACTGACTAACACTGTACATTTCCTGCTAAACTTAGGGTTATGCAGAGTTGTGTATGTCCGTCGACTCGCTCAGACTGAATGCAGGTCGTGGTTCCCCGCGGGTCTATTCCAAGTAGCTATTAAAAGCTTCTTTCTTTTCACTGTTATCAGTTTGGTGCTGGTGATTTTCCTTTGGCGCTGGCTAAAACTAAAAATTTCTTCATGTGGGGGTGTAACTGCTGAGGTTCCAGGACAAACAGCTGGTTTTTGCCAGCCTCCATTTTTAACTTAAGTCTAAGACATTTTACACTTTGTAGGTTACATTCTTTTTTACATGGTGTCCGCGGGGTCTTAAAAAGTCTTAAAAGGTAATAAATAAATTTTGAGAAAATTAAGGCTATTAAAAATTCTTGATCGCCATTTAACAAGGTATTAAATTTAGATTTTCTATATGAAAATCCTGTTTGTCCAAAAATTTGTTTGCTAAGTGTAGATGAACGTATTTATTTATAATGCATCTACCCAAAAATACTAGACAGACAGAGAATAGCGACTGTGTGATTCATTTCTTTAATGTTAGGTGCAGGGATCTACCGTGCGCCTATTTCACTCTTAAACGCTCCCAAAAATAGATCCGTGCGAACCGGGAAATGATTTACAAGTACGTATTTTTATAAACTGAGTTTTTCCTCCATCGTTCACAAAAAAATCTCTGTCTACATGAAACCGCAAAAACGTGCCACCAAGAGCTCGCCAAACCACCAGGCGCCGTCATGACCCTAACCGTAAAGCCACGTTCAGCCAATCAGAGACTAATAAAATGGTAAACAAAGCAGGCAGTGGCACACAATCTGACATCAAACACAGCAGATAACGGAAGTCTCACTGTCTACATGACAACACTGCAACGAGTTTCTTCAGATCTTTACCCTGGCAGGACTTTTCACAAATGTTTGGTTTGAGTGGACCTGGCCTGATAATTACTGTGTGAATGGGACAAATGATTTGAACATCCATACTAGTTACGGACACAAACCATCTGTTGCTCCAGATGATGAGTGGACAGAGAGAAAACTTCTGTCTTGCTTCCAAAGGTGTTTGGTCCAGGTGCCGAGCGGACTGAAGTGTAAAGGAGCGTCGTTCGCTCCGTCCTGGACGAAGTCATCATGGGATACAGCTGCTCTGCTTTTGAATGCTCAGCTGCAGATAAATGAACTTCCCTTCTGCTCTGAACTGTGACGGTGTGTTGAATTTCCTCTGCTGTCTGGGACTGGACCGGGTTCACCATGGAGGGAGAGTCCAGACGAGCAGTTCGCCTGGGAGGAGGTAAGTTTAGTCTGTTTAAAGGGATGTTTGTTCACCAACCACTTGGATTTCTGCTGTTCTTGCAGAATCATCAAAATCTGATTCCTGGGAACACTTCCTGTGTTTTACGACCCTCTGGCCGGCATCATCTCCAGAACCAGATCTTTGAGACGCTTTCTGAGTCAGAGTCTCCCTGCTGGAGATGTACAGAGAACTCTCAGATAAAAGGAATATCTGCTGCAGGTCTTGTTTGCCTCACTGATCTGTGGGAGCTTGCTCTGTTACTTCTGTCTTTGTTGCTGTTCTCAGACTCTAATTCTAAATGAGCTGATTTTACTTTCCTAAGATGTTTATTTTTACATAATAAGGGTAATGTATCCAGGGGTAGTCCCTCTGAGCAAGTTTAAAATAAAAAATTGTCTCCTGGGTCTCTTAACCCCATACTGCCTATATTTAGTAAACTGGTGGAGAAAGATATTGAAGCAGCTGTTAAATCAACTAATATGTTGAAGAGTGTGGTGGGAATTGCGTGTTTAAATAAACAGCTCAGGCAAACACTTGTCTTTCTGTGAATTTTATTCAAGTCTTCTGCAGAAGGAACTCACGGGGACACATATCATCCGAGTGAGCTGCAGTGTCACAGCTCATGCAGCTTTTATCTTAGTCTCAGGGTCGGAGTACTATCTCATCAAAGGAACATGGTGTCTCTCAGTGTTCCCTAGGGGACACTCAATTTGGATCTATAGGAGGACACTCCTGTCCAAAGCACATGTGGTGAACAACTTAAAGTCCTGACCCCTCTGGAAGCATCACTCACATTTACCTTCCATTGACCTCATACCCAAGAGGCTGGTGAGATTAGTTACATGGCAGTATCTTAAAGATGGAATCATGAAATCCCCGTCACAAGAGTCACAGTATTAGTCAAATTAAAAGAAACGCACTGAGCAAACTACGGGATATTTCAATTTTTTTTATAAAATCAGCCGATAAAGGAGGAGCTGTTGTGATACAAAACACAAAGGATTGTGTGTCTGCGGCTTTGAGACAACTAAGTAATACCACTTTTTATAGACTGTTGCAGCAAAACCCTGTTGAGAAATATGTAGGAGAAAGAGATAACATTTTGAACGATGCGGTCGATGAAATGTGGATTACTAAGAAGCAGTATGACTTCCTCTCACTGCTGTTGTCTATTTATTGCCTAAGATACACAAAAGTTTAAAAATCCTCCTGGCAGACTAACTGTGGCCAGGAGGAACTCTTTATCTGAACCCTTTAATCAATTTGTTGACTATTTTATCAAAGACATTGTTAAGACACTGCCTTCATATGTGGCTGATGCTGTGAGATGTTTAAAATTGGTGGCGGGCATCTCCTTGCCTGACAACGCCCTTCTGGTAACATTTGATGTGGAAAGCTTGTACACATTCCACATGAGGGTGGACTAGAAGCTATGAACTTTTATCTTGAGGCCCAAAAAGATACACTTCCAGTGGAAATACTTGTGTCACTCACCAAGTTTCGATCACAGTTAATGAAAACAGACAACTGGAGACATCTATCGAAAAGAAATACTATTTTACACGCTACTAGTTTCCATCCTAACCGTGTGATAAGTAAAATACCATATGGTCAGGGGTATCCTGGACGCAACATAAAGGGGTGGGCTCCCCACTCTTCCCACTCCCAAGCAAGGCCAGAACGAGGGAAATACAAATTAGCAGTTTTTATTATATTCAGAGACGAGCAGTGCCCAAAACAACAACCAAAGCACTCTAGGAAACCTAAAACTTCCCAAAACCAAACCCAAAATGTAAAGAAAAAGACAAAGCTCTAACCTAGGCTTCTGATACAATAAACAGGAGGAAAGGAAAAAAGAGCTTCTCACTCCTACTAAAACAACAAAGAAAATCTATATATAGCAAACAAAAATATGGCTAAAGCCAACAACACAAGTTTGTCGTAGACAATAATCAGAATCACTGAGGAGCTGGTTAACTTACAAAGACTAATATGCTCAACACACAGGTTGGATCTGAACACAGAATTCCCAGGTTTACTCAGGCACATGTTGGGATGGCAGAGTGAGGAAGGACAGTTCCTGTCAGATGGGGCTTGAAACGGCTGCTGTCATCCAGGCGACCAATCAGGAGGCATCAATCAGCTCTGCAAGGCGAGTTTATTTGTATAGCACATTTCAAGGCAATTGAAAGGGCTTTACATAAAACATAAATGCAAGATTGGGAAAAGAAACACATTACAGTAAAAGTTACAGTGCGGTGTACGATCAGGGTTAAAAGACTTAAATAGAAAATGCAATGCAGTTTAAAAGAACTGACAGTTTCAGCAGACCTGCAGTTATCTGGGAGTTTGTTCCAGATATACGGAGCATAAAAACTGAACGCTGCTTCTCCTTGTTTAGTTTTGACTCTGGGGACAGAAAGCAGACCTGATCCCAGACGACCTGAGAGGTCCGGATGGTTCATGACGAAGCATCAGAAATGTATAATATGACTGAATTTCTTGTTTTATGTTTATTAAGATGTTTATTAGGATAATGTTTAAGTTGTTTAGTGAAAGAAACACTGAACTTCAGGGCCTTGTTGCTCTCACACACACACCCGGCCAGTCAATTCCGTAGGGGAAGTTATGGTGAAGGCCGGGATTCAAAAATGAATTAAACATCTGAACGAGAGACAAAGGGGCCTTTCTGGCTTTTAACAAACTGTTGCTGCTCTCAGGCCCGATGAAATACAGGACCCATGAACACACGGGGCCTTTGTACGCAGACTGCAGCTCTCAAGGTCATCACGTGATACAGCACGTGAACCTGGAGCACCAACTGTGGAATTGTTTTCTACCTATAACTAATAATATCAAGATGCTGTCCACTGTTGTTTTAATATTAATTATGTGTGGAGGAGGTCTGACCATGAGAAAGGACACATCAATCAGTGTAACACAGAGTTTGATGAGTCTGCTCCTGGGACCAGCTCAGATACACGTGACATGTATTTGTTTGAAATTATCACTAAACTTTACTGGAAAAGAAAACTATTAAGAATGAAAGGATGACCGTTCACGTTGGTTCAGTTACACTGAAGAATTCAGAGTGAGGGCCCATGAGGCCTCTGGGGCCCCGTCTGAAGGCAGAGAGGAGACGTCTTACTGAGGAATGAATCAAGTTCAACTTCCCACAGACTTCATGGACCTTTGATTTGGTTTGGATTAAAGCTTTTTGACCTTTCACCTCCTCCTCGGAGACCCGCCTGCTTCTTCCATTCCTTATAATACAGACGGTCAAGTTACGGAGCGTCATCTGAAACACACGGCACTTTACTGGCACACACTGACTATAGTTTATTTCTGTTTACCATTCTATGATTGCTTTTGTATTAATGTAAATTATCTGCTGCGTAGCAGAGGGAGGTACAAACACAATTTCACTTTACAATCTGTTGTAATCTGACAAATAAACCATGTCCCTTTCTGAACGTCTTAGTCTGTCTTAAAAAAACTCAATAAATACTTATCAGTAAGCACCTGGTGTTTCAGGTGTGTGCCGAATTAACCAGCAGCTCTTCCTGAGTCTGAAAAGCCTCGACAGTATTTTTTAGCAGGTTATTTTAGCTACTATTTGATTCATTTGTAGTTAAAATGATGTTTTGTCAAACGGAGTCTGGTTCCCCGCTCGGTTCAGACGGCTAAAAAACGGCCAGCAAAACGTCTTTAAAACACACGTTTCTTCCACACGTATAACAACTATTAAACTGCGGGGAAACGTGAAGAATTCAGTCTTCAAACTGAGTTTTATGAGACATTTTACGAAGCAGCAGCAGCAGCAGCAGTGTTTACCTTCACTTCCTGCTTCCTGCGGACTCTGCACCAACAGCGCATGCTCCTGTCTCCAGGCCGAAAGAGACAAGATGGCGGCCGCAGCGTCCAGGAGGAAAAGCGTCAGACTGAAAGGTTCTGCTGGAAGAGACCTGGACCCGGACCGGACCGGCCGGGACGTCAGAACCGGGGTGAGTACACGGCTCTGGGACCGGAGGTCACGTGACCTGGGCCCCGTTTCAGAGGCTGAGACGAAGGAAACTTTTCTGTTTCAGAGATCAGATCAGATCCAGAACTCCGTCTGAAGTCCGCTTTATTTCCTCATCCAGTCCAAATCACAGCACAGTAGCAGTGAAATGAAATCGCAACGGTTAGATCAGGGCTGCTTTCCAACTTTCACTTTAGTTTGGAGTGAGTTTCGGTGCGATACTTCAAACCTCCAGACGTCAGTGGGAGACCCGACCTCACCTGGTATCTTCTGTTGTGTAATTATTATCCTGTTTTTACTCAGCAGAGGTCTTCTGATCATTAGGTTAATGATAGTTTGGTAGGCGTGACGTAGGGCTGGACGATAAAACGATCCCATCTGGCATCGCGATAAGATTTACGTAGACTACGATGATAAACTTTTGACCTGTTTCACTTGGTATGGATAGACCTAACAGCCCATTACAGAGCAGAAATAAACGGACAACAGCCAGTCAGATTTTGGCTTGTGCGTCTAAGTACACGCCCATTTGCTAGCAGAGCGCTGTTTGAGCTGCCGGCAGTGAAGAAAGCGAAAGTAAAGAGTAATGAGTGGAACCGACGGGCACGAAAGCGACGGTGAAAGTGAACTCGCGCTATCTTCCGAAGCTGATTGTCGATTATATGGAAGTGGTTTGGATATCTGAAAAGCGACGAAGCGCAAATAAAGACGGTCTGCAAAATACGCTGTCGACCGGTGATAACCAAGACGGGAAACGCAACAGCGACCACACCGAGAGGACGAAAATGCCGGCCCATGTTAACGTTAGTCCGTCCACGAGTTTTTCCCAACATGCTAGTGGTTCTTCTGCTGTTAGCAGCGCGAGCGGGGCTGTAGCAAAACAGCAATCGATGGTGTCGACCGTTGCCCCGTATGAAAAGCGATCAAAAAGGAGCTAGGATATAACCAGCGCAGTTTCTTACTTCATAGCAAAAGACACGATGCCCCTGAACTCAGCGCAGAAAGACGGGTTCAGGGAATTGATTAAAGTGCTGGACTCCAGGTACGAACTCCCTGGAAGAAAATACTTTTCCTCATCTTTACGAAGAGTGCCGTGGGAAGCTGGAAATTCTTCGCCACAACCACGGACCTCTGGTCCAGGCGCACATCAGAGCCGTATATGAGCCTGACTATTCATTACATTGACGAGGAGTGGGCTCTTAAGAGCAGATGCTGAATTATTATGAAGCAGATTATGAAATGTAAGGTTTGGGATTAGTGTTGTGTTTTGTTGTTGTTTGTTTTTTACTGTAATATTTTGCACCTGCCCAGGGACTGCAGCTAGGAATGAGCTTTTAGCTAAATCTGGAACAGTACATATATTGTGCATTGTCCCTGTTAACTAAATGAATAAATGAAATGCCTATTTTCCAGAGGACCATAGAGCCGAAACGATCGGCCGGGGGCTGGAGGATGCACTCGCATCCTGGGGCCTTTGCAGAGGTTTTATCAGCTGATAAAAAAACAAGGCACTTGGTTCGCTCATGGCAGGACATTGATGTCCTGGAGTCTGTCCACAAGCCTCTAAATCCACCTGTTGACTTCACTGATGCTCTTTCTGGTGAAGCCTGTGCTGCAGCTCTTCAAGGAGACAGATGTTTTCTTTTACGAGCGTCAAATCTGATTTATCTTGAAACACAATGGATAAGAAAACTAATGTTTCTTTATTGATGGTATTAAATGGGCCCGTGACTGTTCAGAGGGGCGGTCTGTCTGGAGCACAGACCGGTCTGTAGTCTTAAAAACTCGGCCGCTGGCTGAGACGAACCAGCCGCTGCTCCTTCTACCTGGTAAGGTTACCTGCAGGCAGAGAGGAGGAGGGACTGAGACAGGCTGATTTCTAAACCTCACTCAGTATTGTGATGTCAGATATCGACTATACGGTGACTTTGCTGTTGTAAACATTGATGTTGCTGCTCTAGAAACAACATTTAGCTGTATTCAAAATACTAAATTCTAATCCTATAATTAATTAAAAATAACCAGGCAGTTATGTGCACTTCAATATTGTGTTTATTTATCACAAGTCATATGTCCTCTCAATATATAACAACGTTATACTTAGACAACCTTTGAGAAGTTAATGAAACAGTACATGTGAGAGGCCACGGCAGCAGATGATCAGCAAACACGAAGGAGGAGACTGAACAGAACGCCCACTTGAAGGTTGGAGTTTATGGTGAATATAAGGTGATGTTCGCTGACTGGAGGGTCAGTTCATCCCGATGCCTGCTAGGATGTAGCTGAGTTTGCCTTTAAAAGTGGAGAAGAGATTTGTTTAGTAGGGCTGTAACGGTTTTGAAACCCAGACCGAAAAATAAAGTCCACGGTCTCGTGTCGCGGACCCAAGAGACAGAACCGCGATACATCCTCTACACGGACTGTTGAGCTGTCAAGACAGAGCAACTGGTATATTAACAGTTACTGTGGGTCATTTCCCACCTTAGTTTAGTGTTAATTTACTTGAATCTGCTCCTCTGCTCTTCTCCCCACACTCACACACACCTAGCCTGCATCTCTTTCTGCTGACTTTCTCCGTCAGCAGTAACGTTACGTTTCATAAACTCCCCCGTGGTTCACTGTCGCTCCGTAATGCAACATTTCCTGCGTGTCCGTTGACATAATACCAGATAGCATCTCCCTCACTGTTGCAAAATGCTAAAGCGGGTTGACAAATATACTTTGGCAGGTGCAACTATACCTGTGTGGCCCCGCCAAGTAAAGTATGTTGAAAACACTTTGTAGCTATAAGCTATAATCTTAATTGTGATCAATACTCCATTAATGGTGCAGCCCTACATATTTAGTGCGGATGTGAACATTAAACACTTCATTTCAGTGGAAATGTTTTTATTCAGGCTATGTAAAGGCAAACACACAACTCTTATTATATTTAGAACAGAATATAATGCAGCATATAAGGCTTTCAAGCATTCTGTATTTCTTTCCTGATTTAGTCTTCCCTCCTCTTTGTGTCTTTGGTTGGTCTCATCACAAAGCAGTGTGTCCTATCCACTTCCCCATCTCAACAGTTGCACTGAAACACTTACGATGGCTGTTTAAGCCAAATTATTCTCTTCTTATCCCACTAATGTGCTGAGATCAGCTGGAAAACGCCCTGAGATGATCATTTGATACAAGCTCAGACACAAAGTATTGAATCTGTGTACTTCCCAGGAGGGAAACGAGCCTCAGAATCAGCCGAACGGCTCTAATTGCGAGATAATATCACCTAAAAACATCTAACCAGCCAAGTGTTAGAGCTGCGGACTCCCAAACCTGAACACTTGTTCACTGTCTGACGCTGCTTCTCTCTGAACTTTGTTTATAACATCAGCTGGTTAGCTAGCAAGCTCGCTCGCTCACTGAGGGGGCGCCAGTGACACAACACAGACAACAGCCTCCTATCAGACGACAAAGAAGAAGAGTTCTGTTTTTCTTCTTCTTTAGTGTTTATTAGCGCTCGGCAAACCGGCTGAAAGATCGCTGCCATGGTAAAAGAGCTTTTGCGCCGTTGTTTTGCCGCTCCAGTCGGGAAAGATCCTTTTGGGGCTTTTGACAAAACAAGCCCCGAGATTCTGCTCTGGACCTGCTGGATCAGACTCTCTCACTCAGACTCTCAGCAGTTCCCCTGCTCTGCACAGCAGCCACCAACCCGGTTCAGCACGCATCGATTTTCAGTCTGCCTGCTCTTCACCTGCTCAATATTCCATCCTTTTAACCCACAATAAATACTTCTCCCTTTCTGTGTCCTGCACTTGGGTCTCCTCGCCGTGCTTTAACAAAGTTATCACTTAGTTAGCCTAGCTGTGAGAATAAATAAACGGAGCGCGCTCTCTCTCTCTCTCTCTCTCTCTCACGCAGACAGACCATCTTCAGTTATTACCACCTGCACTGAGTCCCGTCAGGTTACAGCTGAATACAAGAATCCAAAAGTTCCACCGGAGTGAGTCAGAGATCGCTGCAAAATAGAGTCCCGTTCTGTTACCAGAACAGAGACCCGAGTCCACATGAAAACCATGTAACGACTGACTTTCACCTCCTTTTCTAGCTCTGTTTGTTGGCTTCACATCATCTCTTGGCTCTCTTTCCTGCTGCACCTGAATCAGTTTTTTCCCTGACTGCCTGCTCCTCCTCTCTGTGTCCTCTGCATGCACTCTGCTGATCATACTATTTCATCCATAACCTGACTTTAGTGGAATAAACTGGTGTTGTTTGTGCTCTGTGCTGGAAACAGGACATTCTTACTGTGATGGACTATATTGATGTATGTTTTGTTATACAACTCTCACAAAATCTGCTTCTATATTTTCCTTTGTAAGTGTTTTTGATGCTATCTTACTATCTTACTGTGCTCCCTCCCTTTTCTCCCAAAACACAAGTGCCTGCTCTCACACACATGTGCTACTGCTGAGCCTGGACAGTTAGATACAGAGAGGAGCACACACACTCAGAGCTGTAGAGTTTTCACACTGATCTAACTTTACACTAGAAAATAACACTTTACATGATGACAGTGTAGACCACCATCGCTCTAGTAATAAATGAGAACAATTTAGGCTATAAAGCTCCAAAATAATTGACAACATGACCTACACTGTACATTTACTGCCAGGCTTTTGTAAAGCCTCACACTTCATACACCAACACTGTGACCACTGAAAATAGGCGGCCTTTTGTATTTGCAGATCTGAAACCTCTTTCTCAGACTTGCAGACCTTTACGAAAATACCCAAATTAGTGTTTACACGTTGTGAAATAATCAATAATCATGCGGTGGGATGTTCCTGTTTCTAACACATTTGAGCAAGTTATAATGACAAGGATTTCCATTACTCCTCTCTCCTTATTACCCTTTAAATGAGCTTAACATGTTAAACTACCTATACGTGCTGTAATATGGTGAGATCTACCTTGTAAATGGTTTATACTCCTGAAACAAAA